AGAATCATATGGCCAGTGTTGAATTTTTGCAACAGCCCACATTTCAGACTTTCTAAGAACTTGATAAGCTCTTTCTGACAGCAGATAGAACTCTTCCCTTTTTTTCACCTTATTGCCTTCATGCTCATATTTATATGGGGAACACCATTCTCTGAAGGGACTGGTTGCCTAGTAAATTAGTTACATTGCTAGGAACAGAGTCATAAAACATTAGTGCAGGAAGGAAAGTAGAGGTCATCTGGTCTAACTCACTCATTTTACAGAGGAAGAAACTGAAGCCTGGGGCGATGAAATGATTTGCCCACACTAGGTCACACATCTATAAGTGGTAGAACTAGGGATCCATTTGATTCTAGGTCCACTAATCTTTCCAGTAAAATGCCAATAGAACCCTTCTATCTTCTGTCAAAATCAAATCCCTTAGGGGCTAGGTGGTGCAGTGGATAGAGCACCGGACCTGAAGTCGGGAGGACCTGAGTTCAAATCTGGCCTCAGACCAACCACTTGACACTTACTAGCTATGTGACCCTGGGCAAGTCACTTAACCCCAATTGCCTAAAAAGAAAAAGAAGAAAGAAAAAACAAAATCAAATCCCTTGTCTTCTCCCAAAACTTCCTCTTCCTCAAAGTTTTCTCAATGGTCAGCAACATTGTCAAGAGGAGAGTTAAGTCTTCTTAATTTTTAAACAATAATTTTACATTTGTTGCTCCATGGTAGAATTATCAAATCTTTGAGTTGGAAGGGGTCTCCAAGGCCATCTTCGAACAAGATGGCTTCCACCCTGTGCAGGAATCCCCTCAAAGACAATCTTGTCTTCCAGTCTTTTCTTGAACACTTCGGTTCATCAACTTTTATCCAATAACTACTCTGTACTAGGATCTGGGACATATACATGAACACAGTCTTTGACCTCTTGGAACTTGTTGTCTGGTAGAAGGGGATGACGTATACACTGATTTTGTATATTAAAATGGATTTAGGGCAGGGACTGTCTTTTGCCTCTTTTTGTACCCCTAGCACTTAGCACAATGCCTGACACATAGTAAGTGCTTAATACATGTTTATTGAGTAGTCAATTGATTTCAGTTAAGTTCATTACAAAGATAAAAAAAAATGGTACTTTTGTAGGGGAAAGGAAAGGAATAAGCATTTATTAAGCTAGGCCTGTCTGAGTACCCTCTAGACTTCAGAAAGTGTTTGCAAGATGTCTTCCCACTCAGCATCCGTAAACCAGATCCACACAATGTTATGTGGTTGTGGAATACAATTATAACTCATTAAACAAGGCAGTGTGATGCTTTCCCTCTTTTTGCTGGAAGCTTGCTTTCTTCAGTAAAGAGTATAAAGTTTCCAAATGTACCTTATTATTCTTCCATTTTACCCGCCACGTGACACCTGTGTCAGGTATCACCTGGCTATTTTTAAACCTCATGGCAAATACACAAATACCCACGCCCAGTTGTTAAACAGCCGCATCTCTGTTCTTAGCTATTAGGTTCCAAAGGAGAACCCAAGCTGGGAAAGTGTAATCACAGTGGAATTGGCACGGGCTGCCCAGGGAGGTGTGCATTCTAGAATTCTAGAATTCCTCCAGCAATGACTCAGACCCTGCTTGATGAGGATTTTATGAAGAGCTTTCTAGCCTTGCTGTGGCTTAAAGTGACTGAACCCTGAGCCACCTTTGTGATTCTGTTAAGAACACTGTTATACACAGTGCCTTGAAAGTTCATTGGGAGGCAGCTAGATGGCACAGTGGATAGACCACTGGCCCTGAAGTCAAAAGGACCTGAGTTCAAATCTGGCCTCAGACCAAACACTTGACACTTGTTAGCTGTGTGACCCTGGGCAAGTCACTTAACCCCAATTGCCTTAAAAAAATTCATTGGAAACTCAACATAGGTTTTTCCTTCATCACCACTATGCTTAAAAATCACTTTGCTGATGTGCTCAGGAAATCTTATTTACCCATTATTGCTGGTAAATCACAATTTGTTTATTCATCCCTGGTCCATAAGATGGTCTTTGCTGTAATTTATGCATTCTGTGAAAACCATGGCATAGGAGAGTACTGCTGTGAGAAGCATTTGTGTCTGTTAAACATGGAAGGATGATGCTAATAGGAACTTAATTTAATCAAACAGTCATAGTGTTTACTGTGTCCTTGGCACTGAGGATACACAAACAAAAACAGAGTTCCCACCCTCTAGGAGCTTACAGCCTACCTACACTCATTAGTATGTATGAAGTAATTAATTAATACAAAGTAATTAAAGGAAATTTAGAGGGAGGCACTAGGAGCTTGGGACCAGGAAAGGGACACAAGCAGAGCTTTGAAGAAAACCAAGCAGCCACCTGGCTCTACCAGGTATATTGTGAAAATCATTCATGCTTACAAATCACTATCCTCCACTAATGGGACCTGGGGAAACTGAGGTATTTGGTCCTTCCATTGATAATGGAATAAAAGATAGGTCCATCATTGTAATTGGGGAAGACAGCAAAGCTTCCCACCATGTGTAGAGAAGGAAGACAGTGAAAGAACCTCTAGCCCCTTTTAGGTGATGAAAGAGCATTTTCTTTCTGGTTAATGAATCAAATAATCAGTGTCTATTGAATGCCTACTCTGAGTCAAGAACTACTCTAAGTGATGGGGATACAGGTGTGAAGAATGAAAAAAAACCCTACTTACAGGAAGCTTACATTTTAATGGGGACAGCAAATACATATAAAACGGTTGTTGTCCTTCTTTCTCAAAGAGGACCAAAAATGAAGTCTCTCTATTGGAGTCAAGTACAGTGTGTTTCACTGTGGTTGGTAAGACCAATATGAATTAGGAATGCTCTACCACAGGTTGGGCACAAATGGTCCATGGGAGCTTTTGGGGTAGAGATGTCTCTAAATTTGTGCATCTCACATTTCTTTTGAGCTACTGCAACCCTACTTTGTTCATAGAGCATGTGGGTGCACCATGCTGGGTGGTCCTCTGCCAGTGTCTCCCATGTCACACAATCGATTCCAATTTGGAATTGATTACATATGAAATAAGGAAATTTTAAAAAGAGAAATATAAAGTGAATAAATATAAATATATTTTAAAATATGTAGTAGTTTAGGAGGGAGAGCTCTAGCAGTTGGGAGGTATGGTGGGGTGGGGAAATGCTTCATGCAGGAGAAGGGTCTAATCTGTATCTTAAAGGGAGAGAGGAACTCTGTGAGGTGAGGGATAAGGATTGCATTCCAGGCAGAGGGGATGGCCAATGCAAAGGCAAAGAGATGAGAGATGGAGTGTCATGTAGGAGAAACAGAGAGAGGGTCAGTTTTGCTGGCTTATGGGGTGCGGGAGTCATTGAGGCCACACTGTGTTGGGCTTTCAAAGCTCACCAGAGGAACTTGTATCCTAGCAGCGGGAGTTGGTTGAATAGGAGCGTCACATGGTCAGAACTATGCTTAAGGAAAATTATTTTGACAGCAATTTGAAGGATGGGGCTGCCATGGGGGAGACTTGAGGCAGTCCTGTATAAGATGGAATACTTTCTATACAATTCCCTAGAGCTGCTGTGGAAGTGGATGCTATTCTGAGAGCAAGATGCAGAATGGTTTCAGCATCCTTCCAGTCTGTTGTTTCCTGTCTATGGTAGTGAGCAGAGAACTCAGCTTAGTACGTCTTTTACAGACACTTGGGTTTAGGCTCTCCGCCCCCCCCTGCGCCCCCCCCCACAGGTGTTAATTGAATCCAGATCTCTCTAATAGATAGGCTTCAAACAAAGTAGGTAAATGGTGTCAGACAATATTACCCATGAGCAGCATCCCTGAAACCAGAACTGTGACTGCAGATTTGGGCCATGGGTGGAGTGGACTGTCAAGTCAGAGACCTAAGATGTTTTTCCAGGTCGTCTACTTCTGTTGAGCTTATTCTCTGGGTGGATAAGGGATCCCTGGCTTTAGTTGTGCCCATCTTATCCTTTTCACTAACACTAAATGTATATAAAAATGCCCAAAGTGCTTCTTGGACTTTGGCTATCGGTAACACTATTTCTGAAGAGCTTGCAGATGACAACAACAACAATAACAATAATAACATTTATATAGTGCTTTAAAACAGCATGCGCTACACATGTTATCTTCTTTGACCTTCAGAGGCAGGTGCTGTTATCATCCCCATTTTACAGATTAGGAAACAGAGGCAGACAAATGTCAAGTGACTTGCCTAGGGTGACATGGCTAGTAAGTGTCTGAGGCTGAATTTGAGCTCAGGTTTTCCTTACTTCAAGTCCAATTCTTTCACCCACTATACGGCAAAGGTTTTGTTATGTTTCAAGTATTTTCAGGACCATTGTTTCAGGATCCTTGGGGCATGGGTATTAGAATAAATTATTCAGTAATGTTTTCACTAGGAATCCTTCAGAGAAACAGCTGTGGTATAGTGGTTCGAGAGCTGTACTCACAGTCAAGAAGGCCTGGGTTCAAATCCACCCATCCCTACTTTAACTTCATTATATGGATTATGTTGGATTCAGATTCCCATCCCCACCCTAATAAAATATTTAGAGTGAACCTAAAAGAAACTATATATATTTTCCCCTTTATTTTTTTTTATTTCAATTCCAAATCCTCTCCTTTCCTCCCCCCTCCCCTGCCTGTTGAGAAGTCAAGAAATACAATACCCATTTTCCATATGAAGTCATATAAAACATATTTCCACATTAGCCATGTTGTGGGTTGGGGGGGAAGCAAGAAAAATAAAATGGAAAAATATGCTTCAATCAGCTGTCAAAGTGGATCTCTTCTGTCTCTGGAGATGGATAGTAGTTTTCATCACGAGCCTTTGGAATTGTTGTGGGTCATTTATCAATCAGAGCAGCTGAGTCTTTCACAGTCGGTCATTGTGATATTGCTGTCACTGTGAACAATTCTTCTGGTTCTGCTTACTTCACTTTGCATCAGCTAATATAAGTCTTCCAGGTTTTTCTGAAACCATTCACTTTATCATTTCTTACAGCACAACATATTCCATTACAACAAAAGAAACTATCTATCAAAGAAGGCGAGTCATCTTACACCACAAAGGAATGGGACTGAAGGGGGAGTGAATTTCAGCAGCAAGGTTTGTCCTTGAAAATTGTCCCTCTGTTTTTTTTTTTCTGAGTTTGCATCTGCAGGGCCAATCAAGTCAAGACCTATTAAGGATATATTATGTTCCAGGAATGGTGCAAAGTGCTGGGGATACAAAGTGACAAAAACACAGTCCCCACTTTTCCAGTGGGGGAGATGACATATAGAAGGTAGAAATGATGAAATTTTGACAATGGAATGCACATGTGCGGTAAATGAATAAGGAGTTTAGAATGATGCTGAAATTTGAGCCTGGGCAGTTGGGAGGATGATATTGCCCTTGACAGTAATAAGATAGTTGGGAAGAGGGAAGGATTTGGGAAGGGGGTTAAGGGAGAAGACATGAATTCTATTTTAGATGTGTTGAATATGAGATGTCCAAAGAGACAGGAGAGAGACTAGGGATAGATATATGGATCAGGGCTAGTAATAAAATATTATAATAAAATTTCTAAAATGAAGGTAAGGGAATAAAATAAATATTAGTGGGGAGGTAAAGATGACTTCTGTATGCCCTCTGCCCTCCTGTTTTGGTTATGGTCCAGACTGCCACCAGCTTAGATCTAGAGATATAATCTTTAGAACCTCAGTTCCTGACTTGGATAAGTCATCCAAATCTGACGTCCTATCTGAGATCTGTAGCTGCCTTGACATCTGCTCCAGAATAAGAAGGAAAGACAATTAAATTACTGTCCTACTTTGGAGTGATAGGTGCATGACTGGGTAGAATTAAAATTGGCTCATGGAGGTGAGGAAGAAAGGTCTAATTATTCTCCTACCCCTAACTGGGAATCTTTATGCTGAGGAAAATACTCTTGAAATCAGCAAAATCCAGACCCTTTGGGGATTTCTGAAGGTACAGTTATAATCCAAATTAAGCAGTATGGTACATTGCAAAAGGTCTGTATTCCCCCGTAGCAAAGTACTTAATTTCCTTGAGCCTCAGTTTCCTCCCCTGTCAAATGAGTGGTTGGACTAAGCCTCTGAGGTCCCTTCTAGCTCTACCTACAATCCACTGCAGACACTCATGGCCAACCTCCCAACAAAGTGATCTTCCTGGGTTTAGCCCAGGGAGATTTACTAAGTGTCAGACCAAACCAACCAGAATGTATCATACTACACATGAGATGGTATGCAGAATGATTCAGACATGATCCCTCCACTCGAATAATGGATGTTTTAGTTGGACAGAGCCCATGCTGAAATGGAAGAGCCAATCAAGAGTGGCTTCCTCCACACTCGGTTAGTTTTCAGCTCACCATCCATCCTCAGAATGCTTTCCCTTTTAGGCTCATAGCACTCACTCACTACCTGTTGCTGCAAATTGGCGATGAGGCAAGGCCAATGGGCGGTGTTCATTCCCCGTGGATTTTTGCTTTCCTAATCACTGCCAGCACTGAGGTTGTGTAGAATGAGTAAGAGTCTCTTCCGCTTTGCTTGGGGCTACTTTCCTCTTGATCACTCACTGCCTCTCTGCCAGCCTGACCTAGATATGGCACTAGGTAAAGAAGACTGCCTGGCTTTGGTGCTGTCCAGACTTGGATCCCAGATCAGGGGAAGGCGGCGGAATGTGTAAGTCTGACGTTCTGGTGGAAGGGGGATTAGTAAGGATTCCAAAGGGTTTCTGAAGGAGAACCAGGGCAGAGGCAAATAAGCATTATGCAGCTTTCAGTTTAGTTTTTTCTGGGAATGCTAACAATTCCCCTTAGAACTGGATGCCCAAGGATTAAATGAGGCATTTAGTGTCACCTTGGTCAGACCTCATGCTGATTTTAGCCCAGACAGCTTTTTCCAAAGGAAAGTCTGCCTACTTCCACCCAGGTTACTTTCTTTTAAAATCAGAAATTCTCGTTGTGAGTTCAAAGTTGCAGCATGGGAACAGTGGTGGTTATAGATTCTCTGGTTTTGAGGCTCCCTGTATGTAGTTGGTGAATGTAGTTGGTCTAGATTTGAGCCCCTTTATTGTGTAAATCCCTGGTATCTTGCCACCTTCCAGGCTATTCAGGAGCATTTTTCTTTTAGAGTGGCCCACACCCACAGAATTATGCATTTTTTCAGGTATGTACTGTAGGGAAACATCCTTGCTTAGGCACTAGGTTGATGTCCTTTAAAGTATTGGGTTTTCTGATTCTAATGAGTATTCTGAAATACAAAGACTGGTATTTTTATTGGAGTTGAGTGTGTGCTGTGTCTTAAAGCTGGTGTATAATTGAATCCCAGTTCTAAGTGAGGCATTAGGAAAAAGGGGAGAGGGGGAGTCTTTCTTGGATGGGAAATCATCCAATCCAGTTGTTCTCCATATCCACTTAACATTGGGTTGGTTAGTAGCCAACTGCAACTCACAGATGTTTTCATGTGTGCCAGATCCATTCTAAAGATGGCATTCCATACTTGGCAATACAAGGCTCACAAATGGTCTCGACCTCTTCCATGAAGGTAATGTGTCAAAAAGCACATGAACATGTAAGCAGAGGCCTTGGAATTAGAATGGTAAAGAGATGGTGAAACTAAATTTTCTCTTCTCTTTATAATAATACTTTGTAGCTAGCACATCATCTCTTCCAAACTACTCATTCCTCTTTATGAGGATGACCTCATTGTGCCGTCCCTGAGATTTTTGTAATGGTGCCTCATTTTATAATTCGGGAAATTAAGGCAAAATCTATTCGGACCAAGTCATGGGCAAACTGAGGAAAGGACCTTGGAGGTCCAACCCCTACCATGCCAAAATCAAGTCAACAAGCATTTATTAAGTGCCCACCATGTGCCAGGAATTATGTAAGGAGCTCAAAGTCTAATGGGAGACAGGGGAAAACACAACATTCAAACAATGATATACAAACAAAGATAGATGGGAGGTGATAAACGAAGAGAAGGATTAAGAGGGACCAGACAAGATTTCTTACAGAAAGTGGGATTTTAGCTGGGAGATGAGGGAAACCAGTGGGCAGAGATGAGGAGAGAGAGTTTCCCAGGCATGGGGGAGAGCCAGTGAAAATGCACAGAGTTGAGTGATGGTACATTTTATTATGGAAGGAGGCCAGTGTCATTGGAACTCAGAGTGCATGGGGGGGCAAAAGGAGGGTAGGGCAGAGAGAGCAAGATGTAAGAAGACTAGAAAAGTAGAAAGGGGCCAGGTTATGAAAGATTTTTAAATGTCAAAACAGAAGGATGAATCTGCCAATTATCTGCCCAACAAGGACTCATCTAAGCTTTCACTTTAAAAACTCTACTGGCAGGGACCTATTACTCTTACATGTGACCTCCAGCAGTCTCCTATAGCCCATTCTATATTTGGCTAGGTCTAATTGTTAGGAAAATTTTCCTTTAGAAATCACCCCCATGGTTCCTTAAAAATTGCCCAAAAGTCAGGGCAAGAGAGTAAGACCTAAAAAGAGACGCAGAGCCCCTGACTCCATCCAGGTTGATGTGTCCACTAGACACAGGTATGGTCCATGTGTGGCAGTTACTGGTTCCTCTCTCCTTGAGACTGACATGCTCAGCCTAATGGATTCCTGTCTCACCCCTCCCAGAACACCCACTCACAGGAAGGAGAGTGTCCGCAGTTAAGCCAAGTAAACATGCACCTTGTGTGCCTAAAGGGAGACAGCCTTTGTGTACTTTTTATTGAGATAGAATCAAGGAAAAGTATGTGGGGAGTTGTGGAAGGTCACACCCTAAGGAGGTCCCAAGAAGAAAACACCAGCTTTGTGAGAAAGGAAACTCCCCCCAGGATACCTAGATAAGCCTGCTTCTAGACCCTTTGGACTTCTCTAGTCTTGGATACCCTATGGCTGGATTATACCACATTCTTCCTACTCTTGGATTCAAGAAGAACCAGATAGATTCTAGCATAGAGATTTGTTGTCTATATTCATAACTGAAGAAATGCCAAATTTCACTTAGGCAGTAGTGAAAACAAAGATTTAATTTTTTACCATCCACATTCACTCTCCTTCCCCCCAAATATCCAAACACAGACCCCCTCCAGTGGGGCTCCATGGATACATGATTAAACACCCCTGTTCTACCAAAAGTATACCAAGTATAAGAATGAATTTATTGCCATCATTATGATACTCTTTCTGCTGCTACTATTTTCATTTATAGAATGTCCTCGTGGCATTGACTCCATGCCAAATGTAGAACTGGGTGACTATCTCTGCCCTAAATAAATAGATGGACAGATGTGAAACAAACTGGAGGATGAATGGAAATGTCCTCCAGGGAGGGGTTGATGACAACATGGAGGACAAAGCCTGACACTGGTCATTTTTAAAGCTGAGATCTCAAACACATTTAGAACTAGCTTTATGAGTTTTAGTGGCTATGGAGAGGAAAGCCCCAGACAGCCACAATTAGCTATTAAAAGGAGAGAAGATGCCACTACTGTTTTCCTGTAACATCAATCACTTTCATGTTTAGCACAGAGCTGCAAACTAAGGGTGGGAGGGGGAAGGGGGATTCAAAGGGAGTACAGGAAGTAGATGGTCTTTTTCTTTGAGGAATTCACCTTCTCAAAGAGAAAACAAGGCAGGTGTTTGTGAATACCTTAGTTCTCTGATGGTTCTGTGATTTCATCCAAGTGAGTACTCAATAACAACAACAAAAAGATGGTGGTGGTGGTGGTGGTGGTGGTAGTGATAGCTTGCAGAAGGAAATGGCAAACCACTCCAGTATCAGGGTCACGAAGAGTCAGACACAACTAATTGGCAGGACGATAAATAATGATAGCTAGCATTTACATAGAGCTTTAAGATTCACGTAGCACTTCATACATTTGACCCTCACAAAAACTCTGTGAAGTAGGTGCCTTTATTGTCCTCACTTTGCAGATGGGGAAACTGAGGCTGAGGGAGGTTAAGTGACAAGGCAGCTAGGTGGCACGGTGGATAGAGTGCCAGGTCTGGAGTCAGGAAGACTCATCCTCCTGAGTTCATATCTGGCCTCAAACACTTACTAGCTGGATGACCCTGTACAAGTCACTCAACC